TGACAAATATCTGCTCAGTTTGTGCTCGTTGCCTTGACCTTGAGGTTCTTACAGCATTGGTCCACGTGCTGATAAAGATTTATATGTGTCTAGGTGCTAGAGGTATTCTGTAAATGGAGTTTTGGCCATTCATGCAAGTTGCATTCTAGAAATAACACATCCATGAAATGAAAGACTTTTAGGCTTTTCTGCAACAACATGTACAGGCTCATTGGACACCATCAAACTCTGTGTTTCCCTAGCAGGAGAAAAAGATCGTGTTGCATTATGTACATCCAAAAGCCTGGCACATTTGAGAGTGAATGTGCTGCCTTGCTACAGGCAGAAAAGTAAAGCCATCAGCCAAGATAGCTGAAAGGGGAAGATAAATGTTTTTGCTGAGGCTGATAGTTTTCACACCTAGGTCCATCTGCTTGACCAAGACCAAGTTAAAGCCGCCATGCAAAGTAGTGGCCCTTGTACTGATTTCTCAGGTATCTTCGTGTCTTGAGAGCAGCTTAGTGGAAAAACTCCATTGCAAAGGTAATGTTAAGGTGTTTAACGTCCCCATGGGCTTTAGAGTACTTACTGGGTTGGTTCTGACTGCCACAAATTTGGCCAGTGTGTCTGCAGTTAGCAGATGGGTTTATATTTGATGCGCGTTGGGTTTCATGTGTCATAAGCGAGACTGTTCTTCAGATTCACTGACTTGATTTTCATGGCTTTGGATGCTAAATTCTGTGAGTTATATTTATTTGCCGTGTGTCCTAAATTCAGTGCTCGACTCCAGTGAAAACATGGTGCATTTTGAACCAGCATCAGAATCTTATTCAGACTGTTGGCAGCCAAGTGGAGGTAGGTGTGCGTGAAGGGAAGCGTTGCCAGCAGGACTTTATGGAAGAAGCCTGTGTAGGATTACTGTGTCTGGGTGAACTAGAATGCCCAAAGTATGTTGTCATTGAGGATTTATTCCTGGAAAGCAAATCACCTCAAAATCTATGAGACTGTACATCCATGCAGCAAGTATAAAATGATCCTGTAGGATGAGAAAACAGTAAAAAGGTAGCATTCTACAGAATCCTTACTGTGCTTAAGATAGAAATCTTTGCTGTGGCATTTGATTCCTGTGACAAGGTCCTGCTGAGGAGGAGAAGTGGAAGAGCTGAGCTGTCCATGGATGTGAAGCTGCCATGCCCAGCTGGGGCACCTGAGGGATTGGAGACGAGAATGGTGACTGGGAGAGGTAATGGGCAAAACCTGGACTGGATGATGCCAGATGTTGTAGCAGTTGTGGAGAATTTGTGGTGCAGTGAAGGGACAAATGGTGGGGAGTAAGTTATTCTTTGTTGGCATTGAGGTGACGTTGTATGGATCTTTGTGGAGAATTGTCTTTGTTGATGGAAGTAAAGTTTGTGAAGGTTGTGTTGTTAACGTGATGAATATTTATTTTAATCACAATTATTAAATATGTTTCTCATAGAAGTGAGTGGTGTAAGGTGCTGGGGTCAGATGCTGAAGTTTTGGTGGCTGGAATGGCAGAGCCTAGCACTGCTCCGGGTCGGATCAGAAGCAGCTCCAACTGCTCTGGAAGGGACCTGTTGCTGACCAGAGTTAGTCTGTGAGTTGTGCTGGGGTAGGCCTCTGAGAGAGCAGGTCTAAAGAAGGGGAAAGTGCTTTGTAACAGCAGCTGGAAGAAAGGAGTGAGAGATGTGAGAGAAGCAGCCCTGCAGCCACCAAGGTGAGTGCAGGAGGTGCTCCAGGCATGCAGCAGCAGTTCCCTGCAGCCCAGGAGAGACCTGTGATGGAGCAGGCTGTCCCCTGCAGCCCATGGGGACCATCTGGAACACGTCTCCCCATGCAGCTGCGGAGGAACCCGCAGTGCAGCAGGAGGCCCGTGGGAGCTGCTGCCCTTGGAACTGTGCTGGAGCAGTGCCTGAGGGGTGGCCCTATGGTTTGGAGCAGTGTTGGAGCTGTGCTTGGAGAGCTGCAGCCTCTGCATCCCACACAGGATCAGCTGGGGAAGGACAGCATGCATGGGAGAGGCCCACATGGGGCAGGGGAAGGGAGTGACCACGCAGGAGCAGCAGAGATGGAGCATTATGAGCTGCCCACAGCCCCCATTCTCCCTTGCCGCTTGGGGGGAGAAGGCAGGAGAGAGTGAGTGGAGGAAGGTGTTGTTGTTTGCTTCAGTCTGTTAGCAGGAGGCAGTGCATTAAGTTCATCTCCTTGTACCGAGTCTGTTTTGCCCATGACAGCAATTGGTGAGGGATCTCCCAGTCCTTAGATCAACCAGTGAGCCTTGTTCATTGTATTTTCTCTCCCTCTTCTTTTGAAGACAAGGAGTAAGAGCAGTGTAGTGTTGATGAGCTGCTTTGTTAAATTACCACGGTTACCTTGTTTTAGCACAAAAAGGCACAGATGCATAATTGTCAAGACTTTCAGTATTATGAAGCATGCATAGCATACATAGCTACATCCTTTTGTTTTCAAGAACTTGTAGTTCACATCCTGTCATCACTGTAGAATATTTTAGTCCTTCCTTTGTACTACTGAATGTTCTTTCTCATACAGAAAGAACAGGCTTCTTAATTCTTCAGGCATGATCGTTCTTCTTTTCTTCCACCATCTTCATCACTTGTTCTCATCTTTTTTTCCTCCTGTGTTGAGCCTTTCAGCTGCATGGTTCTAATCTTAGATGTGTTCTGCACCTTCAGTTCCTGTTATTCATTACTTGCTTAAATTTCCTTCTTTTTCCTCCTCAGTTTGGCAAAAAGGACCAAACAGCAGGTCCTTACCACTGTGGTCCAAAAGCCATTCCTTTAGACCAGTTACTTGTTTCAGCATCTTTGGTCTCCTTTTCTAATATCTAAGCTATTTCATAGCTGCTGAGTTTTCAGATAATCTCCTCCTAAACCTTCCTTTGTCTGCCACAGCCCTTCCTGTTGTTCTTTGGAGGAGTGATCTCTGATTTTCGCAGGTTTGTTGTGTGTTTTCCTGCAGGTTATTTACTGCCCTGCCCATTTGACCTTTTACTTGCTATCTCAGCAAGGCACCATACAGAAAGGAGAGAGAGGAAAGTGAATGTGGGGTAGATTGAGGCCAGTTCTTCACAGGTAGTTCTTCTCGTTCATTATCGCTTGCTGATAGGACTAAAGTGACCAGGACTAGAAATGATAATTCCAGCTCTTACTCTTGTATTGGCTTTGTTTTAGTCACTTGGGCCACTTCCAAATTCTGCTTGCTGCTTTCTCTCTGTACCTGAAAACACTGTAGGAAAACCTCAGTCAGATCCTCTGTTAGTTCCAGTACCCCCATATCTCTGGCTTCCTGGCAGCAGCCCTTCTCTAACTCGGAAGGAAGGGCAGATAACATCTCATATCCTTTTCTTAAAGGGAAAACGGGACACTTTTCTCCATCAGAAAGTTTGTTTCATGAGTTGTAATTCCTAACCTGTAGGACAGAGTATGAGGAGCGTTGGCATGTATTGACTTTTGGAAGCGATACTCCTGGATTTGTGGCTGCGTTGATTGACCCTTTAGTGCAAGCAGGAGCTTTGGACTCATGGCTCTTTGTTTTAACCTTTCTCTTCTTGAATTTTGAAAGAAAAGAAAGGAATTAAACACCGAAGAAAAACTTGAAATTTCTGAAAGAAATGTTAAGTGGATGATGCAAAGAACTGTCTCCTGCTTGGTTCCCCTTCAGGGGTTTTCCCTTCCACTTGAGATACTGATCCTTGCTCTGACCTCTGAGGGTTGTGTTATGGAAGTGCTTGTATTGCTGTGCCTTCCAAGCAGGTTATGGCAGCTCCCTGTGTCACTAGCAAAGGGCAGTGCTGAAGAGCAAACACTGGACTGCCTTCTTTACCTCTGAAGCAACCTGGTGAATTCCTAGCTTTAGCAATTAAAATGAATTGCCCCATGTGAAGTGCTATGGGAAAATCCTTCTCCTTAGGCATCCCATATTTTACCTCCTCTTCTTGCTTCTTACAGGAAACTCAATAGCTTCAAAGGTATCTTTTCACCTTCTGATGAGCATTGCAGATCATTTCCCCTCCCATAAGTTGGAGTTGTTGTCCAGTACTTCTGCTTCTCTTCCATTGAGCTTTTCTCCAAAAGCCTCTGGAATTCTCCATCTTTGCCTTGCCTCAGTCCCCACTCACCATACACAGCATGCATGTCCTCAGAGGATGCACGTGTACCTCACAGACAAAAAAAACAAACCTGTAAATTATCTCTGCATCCTTCTTAATGATGTTTTTAATGCTCGTTTGTTATGTCTAATAAAAAAATCAAAACATTAATCACATTTTGGTACTTTTCCAGTCTGTTTTCCTTGCCTTTCCGCTATTAGTCACTTGTGGCATCAGTTCATTAATAGCTCTGTGGACTCACTGAGTGACTAAACTTCTTAGGAGTCTATGATGTAACTTTACATTTGGGCTCCTTTGATTAAATTGGAATGTCTTTTAAGCTCTGTATCCCTGTGCCAATGGTTTTCATGGCTTCAGCAAATGTCTTAAGAGCTACCTATTACTACAGGAGCCATTTTACAGCCGTGGTGGATTGTTTTTTCATTTCCTTGATTAGCTCTCAGCGGGCTGATGATTCCAGACTAGGATTAAGTCCAGCTATGCAGTTCTGTTGCTCTAGATATTTTTTCTAGGTTTGGAGGCAGAATTGAAGTAGAAAAGTACAACGTACAGCCTTTCCCCAGTGTTTTGCTTACTCTTACGCTAATACAACAAATGAAATTGTTTGTATCCATCTAGGGGTATATTGTGTAGAATGCCAATGTGCCTGAAATATTTGGGTTTAAAATAAATAAATAAATGAAGGCACAGAAAAAATATTTAAAGCCTTGCCATGGAAATGCATGGAAAAGTGGCAGTAGGGGCAGGCCTGCTGTGTTTCTGAGCTTAGGCTGCTATTCTCAGGTGCCAGGACTAAATAAGATGCAGCTGAGGATTGCAATTTCTTGAAAGCAGTGTTACCGCTGTTTAAAACTGACTTTAATCCTTGCAGACCAGTAATGGAGGAGGGAGTTTAAGTGATTATTCCTCCTCTGTCCCATCAACTCCAAGCACCAGCCAGAAGGAGCTACGGATTGATGTTCCTCCCACTGCCAACACACCAACTCCTGTCCGTAAACAGTCCAAGCGCCGATCCAACCTCTTCACGGTGAGTGAGCCAAGGAAGAGACTGTTGCTGTGTTTCTAGTCGTGCTCTGTGACCGTGGCCTGAGCTTCAACCCGCTTGACTTGAGCTGGTCTAATCCAGACAGGAGTGGTGAGATGGATCTTGAAAACAAAAGCACTTTAGAATGACAACGGGGCTGTTCCCTTTGAGGATGTAAAGCAGTGAAGTCACCACGCTGGGAAATCCAGCGGATGAATTCTGGAGCTTTAGTGTGACTTTCATTATAAGATCTGCCCAGGTTCCCTAGGTTCCCACCTTCTGTGACCGAAGACAAAGCTGAGCCTCTGCTCCAAAAACCCTGTCCTTGTTCTGAATAATTCTGCTGGCTCGGGGCTTCCTTGTGAGGTATCCAGTGTTCGTAGAGAGCTGTCAGCCATGGGAATTCTGTGGGGTACTGGAAAGTAGCTGCCCCATGAGCCTTTGCTTACTGCTTTCTCAGAGTTAAAAGGTATGATGGAGATGAAAATGACTTCTTATTTTCTTCCTTCCTAGAATATCTGGGTTTTGCTTCATTGAAAGGCAAAAAAACAAACCAAAAAAAAAACCAACCAAAACACTTCAGCTGGTCCATAGAGATTGACCTTTGCTATGCACAAGTGCTTTGGGAAACAAGAATGAAGCTTTGAGTGATGGTTCCCTTATTTTAGCAGTCTTGCTGAAAGCTTTGGGATTGTGTGTAATTGTGGTTTTATAATCAGTTTTTTGACACTTCTAACCGTGCTTTCTAACAAACACTCTTGTGCAAGCTCTTTGGTGACTGCAGCTATGCAGGAGTTGCATTTGGCAAGCCACGTTCTCCCTGTTCTCATCAAAAGTTTGCATTTTGTATTCCAAAGCTGATGTCCTGCTCACTTCCCAGTGCTGGTCGGCTGCTCGCTCCTATCCAGGGAAGCACTATGAGAAATGCTGGAAACTTCTAAACAAGGTCTGATCCCTCAGCAAGTCAAAAGTTTTGTCCTGGTTTTGGAGTGCTGAGTGGCAGCACGGTCTCACAGGTCATATTTGATGTGCCCATCTTGCCGGTGGTGTTTTGATTTAGATCTTCAGCCTCCTAGAAAGGAATGCAAATGATGAATTTTCGTTGAGGTAGTTTGAAAAATGCAAGTTGAGTGTCTGATGAGAACTTGCCATGTTTTGACACCGAGGTTTTATAGCAAGCGCGTGTGCATCTCCCTGCTGCTCACAGGGCTCGTGCTGAGGAGCACTCGTGAGTTATTAACTCCACTAGATGTCAGTGTCATCCTGGAAACCGAGAGCACAGCCATAAATCTGGGAGCCGAGCCGAGACCACCAGAGCTCGGTGGGAGCGTGTGCCGACCATTTCCTGCCTCGAGTGTGCATCAGGCGCTGAGAGGGCTGTTCAGATGCTGTTGACATTTGGAAAACTGTGGGTGATGTATATTGGAGTAGGTGTAAATTTGAGAAGGCGAATGAAGAGAAACATACGCATCTGCAGTCGAGGAAGAGGTCTGAGAGGAATATGAAATCAGCTGCGTGTTACCAACAGATTGAACAGACAGGTTTGCAGTAACTAACAGCACAGGGAGGACCGTCTTGCCTCGCACAAGAGGATGTTAATAGTTGTCTTAATGCCAGATAACCTGGGGAAGAATCAAGTGCTGTGGGAAAAAAAAAAAATGTCTTTTCAGAATTAGTTTTGTCTTTTGTGTTGTGACCATATTGAACACAGTGTAATCCCTGTCCTGGAGTTTGCTGACCCTGCTCGTAACGCTGCTCTCATGCCATGTCAGCCAAGCTGTAATCTGGAATTACCAGACTGAACAAATAGGTGAGACGTCTATAAAGAAATAGATGGCCTGTCTGCTAAGAGCAAAACGTGAAGCTGTGTCAGTTAGCTGTGTTTGGTTTGCTGTGCTTCTTTCCTGGACTGTTACTTGCATACGATTAGTACTGCTTGCATTTGTCTAATTGCAGACTGACCCTTGTTACATCCCGTAGGTAATACGCTTAGTTTCTTCCATTAAGTTCATGTAGCAACTGGAAGAAAATTGGGTTAAGCAGAAAGAAGATGTGATTTTTTTTAAAAACCTCTTACAGCTTTTGATTTGGAATAGGACCGAGCATTTTAACCATGTTTACCATTTTAAACATGGCTTGCTGAAGCACATCATGGTGGTATCTGATCGTTACAACTTGGGTGGATATTAATGTTTTCTGCAATAGGAGGCTACCTACTTCGGCTTCAAAATAAAGCAGAAGGGTAAATGTTTTTGTTTTTGCACAGTACAACTAGGGGTGATTAAACTGTTGTGCAGCACAGGTGAGGATTTACACTTCAGCAAAGCACTGGTTGCTACTTCTTGTTGGATTTCTTGTGGGCTGAATGAGTTTCAGGTACAGTGAGGCAGCTCCGTTCACATGTCAGTATTACCTGTCTTACGTGATTGCAGATTTGCAGTCATGACCTTTTAAAAAGTTAAATAAACCTCTAGTTCAGTGTATTAGAGACCAGTACTGGTACTTCTTGGGCTGTGGATGCAGGATTCTGGTTGTGCCCGAGCTCAGCTGCTGTTTTTTCCTGGGTTGAAAGCAATCTCGTTTCTAGGCTCTGATTTGGGAAAGGTTTAGTGTTGACGTAAGGCTGCATATGACTTCTGGTGCAAAGGGAAAATAGGTCAAATGGCATTCAGGCAGGTTTTGGTTTTGTTTTGTTTTTTGACTTTTGGGACCTCTTCTGGTTTGCTGTAAAGTTTTAAATAGGATTGCTGGAAGCGTTAACGTGACGTCAGAGAAAATCCTAGCAAATGTTGATCCAGTGTGGTTTAGTGTCTGTTTTTTAATTTATATGATCTAAAATGAAATGGATGCATTATAAATACAAAAGCATGGAAGTCTAGGGTACCTCTCTATTTGACTACATGATATAAACAGTGGAGCCTGATAGAATTCTCCCTTTGAAAACTGCGTGTACTCTTATTACCAGCAGCCAGAAGGGATTTGACTAACATCCCTTCCTAGATTCCTATGCTTGAAGCATTTGACAACGTTTTGCTTTGTAGCATTTCCCTGCTATGTGCAGCGTTCGTTTCTGCTGCAGTCACTTTTCTGCAAGAGAAGATGTGATGATTTAAAAATAAATAAATGAGTGCATAGTATTTAGATTGCTTTTCAGAGACGGGATCCTTTCTTTTAAAACAAGACAAAAAGAAACATTCAAGTTGACAACTTCCCTCCCAAGGATTTGGCTACCTTCATTGAGTTCCTTTAAAATGTCACTTAGGGCCGCTTTGCGCCATTGAAGTATTGTTTTGTGTTTTATTATTGGGAAGTGGCACTTTCAGATTCAGAAATCTGTCTTGAAGGAAGAGGAACAATAGTGATCTTGAACATTGGATTTCATCCCTCCCACTTGTTTTGCTTTCTTTCATTTATTCTTTGTTTAATTCCCTGCCATGTCATTCCATTGCCCCTAGCCATAGTAACTAGTGATAGGAGCCTGCTCCCGGCAGAGCCGGGAAAAGCACAGCCTCCCCGCTGGGTAAATGTGCTGCTTAGGATGCTGTTACTTGAAGTCTTCCTCCGTGGGCTTTTTCCCTCCCCTTGCCTCCTGCCCCTCGTCCCCTAAAGCAACGCTTGGGGCATTTTCTTCCTTCCATCCCTCCGCCTGCTGAATGGGGGAATATGGAAAATGGGTATTAAGTCCCGATGTCACTGCCTTTCAGTCATGCCTTTATGCCAAAAATCAAACTCGGTGTCTTGTACTGCTCTGGTTCTCATTGGCTTTCCGTTGTGGCACTGGACACAGCAAATGCACTCATTTCATACATCATCTGTGATTTGAAAAGCGCATGAAAATGTTTTCCCATTTCCAATATTGTGTGAGTAATGTTCCTATTGAAAAGTAATGGAGTGAAGTTGTCACTTGTCAGATCAGTTATTAAAGAGGATGACTTTCAGCTCTTCCTTTTTTTTTTTTCTTTCTCTTTCTTTTTTAAAATAAAATAAATCTGTCAAAATGAATATACTTGTGTATTCTTTCACAGTAATCGACCAGGATCTGAATGACTTCTTAAAACTCCTGTAGTCATGAAGGGAGCTCTGTGAGCTCACTCTATAGGGCAGTTCTCCTCAGAGAAAGCCAGGTCAAGTTTTAAACGTTGATTTAATTTTTCTCTTGTTGATGTTTATTCTCTCTGTTCACAAGAGTGTTTTTCAACCTCAGCAGGTATCTATTCTTGAAATTCCAACTTTCTCAGCGTGGAAAAGTACGGGAAGAAGAACTGTAAATTGGCATGATCAAAGAGCAAAATTAAATGAATGCGATCAGAGGCAGTGTCATGGTTGATGATCTTTCTAAAAACCTACAGATATTAGTTATATTACCCATGTAGGTATATATTTATGTATGTATGTCAGATTTTCTCAACAAGAAGCTGCAGCCTTCTTCAAGTAGCGCTGTAAACTTCAGCAGTGTGATCTGCTGGCTGTTCAGGCAGCGAGGCTGGAACTCTTTGAAACCCAAATCCCATTTCAAACAAGTGGAGGGCTGCAAATTGGAAATGGTAATTAGGTATTCAAATTCATTCAAATGTAGGGACTGTCGTGTACTTTTGTAGGTTTTCCCCCTCTTGCTTTCAGTATGTTTATACGTCAAAATACTTCTTTATTAAAAAAATAATAATAATAAATAACACCAACTTTGTTTTTGCTCTGCAGTCTCGGAAAGGGAGCGACCCAGACAAAGAGAAGAAGGTCCTGGAGAGCAGAACGGACAGCATCGGGAGCGGCCGTGCGATCCCAATTAAGCAGGTATGCAACCAGCTTTCTGCTTGCCGTGCTCGGAGATGCACCTCGGCTCTGCAGCGCCGCGAGGCCGGCCCGCGCTCCAAGGCTTGTTTGATGTGCTCCAGTGATGAATGTGGAAGTCACTCACTTGACATCAATTAGGAGAGGTTCCTATGTGTATTAAAATAGGATCATTAGAATAAGAAGAGGGAAAATGTGACAACAGGCCTAATGAAGTGCAGTCTGCCGGCCTGCATATGGAGCGCGTTTCTCGGCTGCGCTGGCTTCAAAGGCTGCCTTTGTAGAGCCGGCTTTGATTGGGCTGTGCACTGCCCATTTGACGGGGGAAAATCAGCGTGCTGCACAAGAGCCCCTTGTGATGGCAGGAATAGCCTGATGTGGCCCTAATTTGCTATCGCAGACGGACATCTGAACACAGTTTCAGGCTGGTTTGTAACAACAAGGCAATTAGTTGTGATAATCATAGCCGGTGTGTCAGCTGTGCACTCTTGTTTGTAATTTGCTAATGAAGGAATTGTAACTTTGATTAGGTTCAGTTTCATTTAGACCTTATTATATAAGAGAACATTTACAGCTGTAATGTGTGGCCTTAATTAAACTTCCTCATTACACAACAGGACTTGAATTCACGGATTTGTTTTGGTCTGTTTTACTAGCCTAGATGCACTTTCATTAGCCCGGAAACTGAATGCTGAATTGTAGCTCTGAACGCACTTTGAAAGGCAAAAGCAATACTGGAATGTAATGCAAAGTGTTTGGGTAAATGAGATCATTTACTTTTCCAAATTAAATTACGCTGAATTCATGCAGTTAAGAACACTGCGCTAAGCATTTGCATGGGGTGCTTTACAAATGGTTTCTGCAGTAGTGTTTGCAAGTATTTGCTTTCATGCGAGCTACCATGCTGCAGGCAGCACCAGTGCCAAGTGAAGCAGCTTATTTTCTTCCCATGCAGTTCTTTTCCAGTTTCTTTTGGTTGCTTTGCTGCTTTTCAGATTCCCCCTTCCCTCTTCCCATGTGCTTCCAAACCTTACCTGGCTCCCAGCTCAGCTTGTGGAGGAGTCCGCCATCTCCTGTTTGGTGCTGCTGTTGTGGAGGTTCTTTGTGTATTGTTTTATGCTGGGGTGAGGAAGAGGGGAGATGGCTTTGTACTCACGCTTGTAGTGATTTCCTTTCTCAAAGCAGTTAGACTTGTTGGGGCCATCAGGCCGCAGAAGCCTAGCCGTGTCTGTGAATCTTTAGGAGACAAATTTTAATCAAACACAGCAGTGTGACACCAGATAAGCTCCGTGTTTGGCTCAGTGTTCAGAGGATGAGATTGCAGGCACCTGAAACAAGCTACGTTTTTTTTCTCCAGCTTTTGTGTGCTATGAGATAGGTTAAACCGATTGGATTCTTTCAGGTAATGCTAATTAAACAAAACAGACTGCGAGTGCAGCTGAGAATAAAAAATTGCATTGGGAAACATGCTTCTCCCAGTGTTTATTTGATGAGTGCATACTCTTCTAAATGGCACTGCATGAAATTAATTTGTGTAAAAATACATGTTTAGGACAGGTGAGATAAGACTTTAAGTGGGATCACGCTGCAGCACAATTAAGGCATCCTCTACAATCACTTGGAATTTCTGTATTGAAAATTTCATGCTCCCACCCCTGCTTTATTTGTGAAGTAAAAGAAGATGGAGCAGGGGGAAAAACAAAACTTTTTTTTTATTAGAAACATAGAACTTCCAGAGGAAATGGAAATGTGTTTGTGTACTGACGGAGTTTAATGGCAGTTGAAATACACGTATTAGTTTGAAGAGGCTTTTGATTACAAATTGTACTGTTCTGAGTTAGTGTAAATCTTTCACCATCAGACAAAGCTCTGAAATGAGGCACTGGGGAAGCTTTCTCCTGTCCACTGTTCAGATAGCTCTTACTTAGAGGTGGTGCTAAGTTACATTGCTGATCTGACTGTTACTGGTGCGTTCTACAGGTGTGAGACACTTGGAGCTCTCTCTGAGGAAGTAGAAATTCCTGCTAGAAAAGATGATCTCTGTTGCATTTAATGCATTAACTGTGAATAAGACAGAGGGATGTGAAAAGGAACATTCAGACCTAAAAACTTCAGTAATATGTCATGCTACTGTGCTGCTTTCAATGAGAAACCCCTTCCATCAGGATGTTTCGGTGACAAACGGTCAGTGAATAGAAAGAGAAATCTCCTTTCAGGAAGCTGAATGCAGATTGTAGTATTCACAGAGTTGCTGTGGAAAAGCTTTCTTATTATATTCTTAAAAGAGTCTTTTTAATCTTTGTCCTCGTGTTTTCCAGTCTTTCCTCCCATTAGCCCAAAAGTCACATTGCTGCACCATCCCAGCCTGCAATTACCAGTCACCTCCAGTTACATTAAACGTCCCACGACTTCTTGAAGCTGCTCTTGAGCAAGGTGCCTTTGCCAGCTTCATGCACATACCCTCATCTTCCAAGGGAGTCAATGACCAGACCTTTTTAATCCCACTGTCAGTACTTTGTTTTTCCCTTTGGAGGTGCTTTGGGTTTGTGCATGGCTTATGGTAATACTTAAGAGCTGTGGCGATGCGCCTCTGGTTGTAGGGAGTAAATCTGAGCTTGCACTTGCAGCTTGGTGCCTCTCTTTTGTTGATTGAGCTTGTTAGCACATTTAAATAATTATTTTTTAAAAAGCCATGGGAAGGTTCGGGTTGAAATTCAGAGAGCGTTCAGTGTTCCTTGGTACTTGAAAAAAGGGTTATTCAAGAACAGCTAATAGAGAAGTCTTAACGTTGAGATGGTGGACTCAGAGGCTTAGTTATGTGATAGATTTTGTGCTGCCTCACTGTAGGTTCTTCTTATCTACCCAGGGTGTCCCAGAAATCAGAAACAATGTCTACCAACTTGGAGGAAAGTTAATTGGAGATTGGAGATGTTCTCTTTTCAAAAAGAAGGACAGAAAGAAAACTCATCTGAGCTCGAGGGGTATGCAGAAGTAGAGGGGAAGAACTGGTATTGGGCAGGTGTGTTTCTGTGCCTCTTCCAGTCCGAAGAAGCAGAGCTGAACCTGCTCCTTCTTTCCTCTTATGGACCCCTGAGTTCCTGAGGGCCTGGGGGAAGTAGGCACAGTTATAAAAGGAGTTTGCTTCCTTGCAAGGGAACACCTCGCTCCTTACTGACTTTAATTTGAAGCAATGGAGTTGAAAGGAGCTGATTTTCTTACTTTTTTTTCTTTTTTTTTTTTATTTCTGAGTGCTATAACTTCCCTATGCTGCTAAGCATGGTTTTATTCAGCTAAGCCATTTAAAACTGTTTTTGAAGAACCCTACAGTTTTTCAGCAGAAACCCAAAATGTAAGCAACAAAAAGTTGGCGTGTTGTCAAAATGTGAGTGGTAGCTTTTTGCAAAGCTGCTCTAAGGTGAATTACATTTAGGAAGTTCAGTTTAAGGGAGAAATAAAAGAAAACTGCTCAAAAGTGAGAGGCTGGGTTTTGCTTACGTGGCAGCATCAACGTGCCATCCAGTCCCTGCTCCCAGCTTCCTCAGAGGGCTTGGGCTGTGCCATAACTTTCCAACAAGAACGCTGAGATTGCATTTAACACCTTTTGTGTTAGGGAGAAGATTAGGCTGAATGGTTTCCTCGATATGAAATGTCCTCTGCTCAAAACCACGTAGGCTGAAAATGAAGGCTGGTATCTTGATAGCCTGAGTTGAATGCTCTGAAGTGTGTGTTAGGCTCTGTGTCAGAGTGACATACTTTCCAGCATGTTGGGCTTTTTGCAGCGTTTTGGGAAGATTACTTTGTTTTCTGCAGTCTTGCAGTAGAGCATATTCAAATAATAATAATAATAATAAAAAAAAAAATGACAACAAGAGAAATAAAAGCAAGAAGCTCAGCTCAGCGGTGAGTGGGCTTGTCATGTATTAATTTTTCATTGCTGTGGAGAATTGTACATACATAATCACTTGATTGCAGTGGGAGTTAGCGAGCTCCTATGGTGTCATTTGCATAAATCTTGTTAAGTCAATGGCAGTTAATGAAGTACAAATGAGCCTGGAGAAGGTGACATGCAAATCGTGGGTGGCAGATGGGAGGTCTGTTTTTGGGATGGCAGCTGTGTGCTTTTTCTTTTTTTTTTCCTCCCTCCTCTCCCCCCTCCCTCCCAGACTGGAGCGTAAATAAATGCACAGGAGCTTGCCTCGACTTTCTGCTTCCACATTCTCATCTTTGGCATTTGCACTTATCATAGGTGCCCATGTTATTGTATAGCTGAACTATGTCACCTTGACTGCTCTTTTACCAAAGGCCGTCCCACCGAAGGGGTTTGCATTTTGACAGGTGACCCAAGCCCTGCTCACAGTGAGCAGCGCTGTGCTTCTTGTGCCCCCGGATTCCAGCGCAGCTCCTGGGTGCATCGTTTAGGGACAGCAAACATGAAACCCTGGCTTGAGCAGAAATGTTCTCATGTTTCATATTAGCTGATGGCATAGCGAAAAATTTGCCATCCATGACTTGCAAAGGTGAACTTCAGAATCCATTCACTTCTCTGTTTGCAAATGGCTGTGTTAATGGAGAAAGCTGAATATCTTATTCAGTCTTTACTTTTAGGTGATATTTCAGATGACCTTCTTTGCCCACTAGCGTGGCACATTTAAATACATTAAAATAATCCTTGAATGAAATTAAGCATTTTGTCTTTTTTACTCAGAAATAAAAATGGTAAACATTTTTAGGGCTGAGATATTGGTGGGGCTCTGCCAGCAAACTGGGTGGGAGTTTTGCTTTTAGGAAGAAGAGCTTTTGATGCCTGAGTGGCACTTTTGTCCTTAAGATGAGCACGGAGAAAAACAGAACTTCCTATTTTATAAAAGGTCACGGTAAACTTGGGGAAAATAATGTTAAAATGCTTTCAACAAATGTCAGAGTTTGTATGAAAAATGTCACCGGTCCCATAACGTCTGCAGTATTTGAGGTGTTGTGTTTTGCAATCCTTTATCAGCCATTCT